CATTTTTTTTCGAGCTGGGCGTTTTCGCCTGTTGTTCGGACCCTGGGGCCCTCACATATCGATCCAGCTCACAACGTGACGCTGAAAGATGGGGGCTACGGCTCCTGGCGTGATTTCTACGGCGTTGCAATTTGTTCGCTACGCCGGGTCTCAGGGAAGCCTCTTCTGCGAGCAATGTTCATATCCATATCCAGTGCGTCTTGGATTTTTTTCGGAAGGAGCACCACAAGGCCGAGGCGCACTGGATATTGAAAAAAGGGGAACACTATCCACATCCAGGAAAATTACCCATAACCAGGGAACCCCAGACTCCATATCGCAGTGGATATGGACAGAGGTATTGCCCGCATCTGCTTGAGGGGGAGGGAGCAGAGGGAGGCGGCGCTCGGTTTGGCCTCACTCGAACTCACTCAAGCGGCTGAACATCACCTTCGCGAGCCGGTCGCTCCATTCGGGCTCCACGCCGAGCGGCCCGGAGTGGTTCCTGGCGCGCGTTGTCTTCATCTCCGCCAGCTCCAAGCGGGTTACCTACCGACCAGGTCGCTAACCTTGGTGTGAGAAGCATCCGCGTGTGCATGAGCTTTGGGAAGCCAGGCGCGGGTCTCTTCGATCGGCGCCGGGCCCCCCTCCCTGGCGGCCAGCCAGGTCGCCGAGCGCAGAGAAGGGAACAGTTGCATGAGCATGGACTTTCGGAGGCCCGCGCACATTTCCTGGACTTGCTTTGGACCCTGCGCGCGCAGCGCGCCAGAGGCGGCGCCTGGGGCGCCTCCAGGGGGGTGCAGAGCAGATGCAAGATGTCCGCGAGGACCTCAGGACACTCGTGGTTATGCAGTTGCCCCTTCTTTTAAGTCGGCCCTGGCCCTCTACTGGAGGAGTAGTCCAAAATTGTCACAAAATTGCCTGGAGACGATTTTTTGAGTTTTTGTTAGTCCATTTTGCAAATTTGACTGACTATTTTTCGTGTTTCCTCCAAAATCCCCCTGTAGGGGGACAGGCCCGACTTGTCCCTTCTTCCAGGGCAGCCCCGCGAGAGCTGCGTCTCGCGGTGGCGCCCCGCTTGGGGGCTCGGCGGACAGCGGCATCGAAGGTGCTGCGCAGGCCCCAGATACACGTAAGTCGGGCATGCCGCTCTACAGGAGGAGAAAATTCAGATCTCGTCTACCAAGGATCTGGGGACGATTGTGTTTTTTGTGTTAAAAAGAGACCCTTCTAGCTTATATGCGTGTCTTGTGTTTTTTCTTTTCTCGTTTCCTCGTTTGAGTATGGGTTGGATTCTTTCGAGCTACATTTAATGCTCCTTACATAGACCGCCTCCAGGAGGACACGCCCGACCTAGAGATTCACCTCGAGCGGGCCGACCTGCCGTCGCCGTCGTGACCCCCGAGCACTTCGTGGCAGCCCCCCCCCCGCCTTCCGAGCAGCAGCGTAGGGGCCAGGGAGGAGGCCCGCCCACCGGTGCTTGGGGCCCGAGCCAGGCATGCCCCCGCTGCACTCGCGGGTGGACGGGGCCCCCGCCCTGACACGTCGATTATCAAGCGGCGGCGAAGCGTCCCGGCTCGCCTTTGGCCCTACCCAACAATGTTCTAAGAACCCTTTTTGTGGATTCCACGAAATATTCTTAGAACATGTTTGGCAGGGACTGTCTTGTTTTGGCAAACTGGGTTTATGATCTAAGAGCATTTTCATTTTGGGATTCTAAGAACATTTCGTGGTATGACTATAGGAATGCGGGGACGGTCGGTCCCTGCTCAAGATCAGTGATTTGTCCGTTCTCGGTTTTCGAGAGGGCGCCGCGGCCGTCACTTTCCAGGCCAGCGCCCGCCAGGTTTGGGCTCGAGGTCGTCTTCACTGAACCACGTGTTACCAAGCGGGGGTCTCTGTCCATCCCCGATACACGAGGAGTATCCAAGGATAGTCAACAAAATAGTCTGGGGGCGATTTTTCTGGTTGTGAAAAAGGATGCTCGACAGTATTGACATGGGCATGTCCCTGCACAGGAGGTGTACCCAAGGATACTCAAACCATACTTTTGGGACGATTTCTCTTGTGGTTAAAGATATGTGCGACTTAGGGATATTGAGTCGGGCATGTCCCTCTACAGGGGGAATATGCAAGGATAGTCGAACAATAGTCCGGGGACGATTTGCTGGACGCTTTGTGGAATAGTTTCGCCAGTTGTTTGATATTATTGTTTTTTTGTTGGGCTATGGTGTTTACTATGTTTTGTTATGTTTTACTGTTCTTCTTGAGTCCGCCTGTAGGGGGACATGCCCGACCGAATGCCAGGGGAACAAGTCCAGCATCCATAGCCGAGCCTTCTGGAGGAGCAGCCTTCCGGAGGCGACGAACATCTCCCTCGAAGCAGTTACGCGATCCGAAACCTGAGAGCACGTGACCGAGGCAAACGTCACCATCCCCGGCATGTCGGGAATCTGCCACGCCGCGAAAGTTCGGGCAAGGAGCCCCAGGAAGCGAGATGGCCGCCGCAATGGCCAGGCGCACCAAGCGCGCATCCGCGCAGCAGGTGCACGCGGCCGTGCAGGATGGCCGCCAGCGTGCCGCGCGGAAGTGCCCGTCCTGGCCAGTGCAGCGGGACCAACTGGGCCTATCCGATGAGGGTCTCGTTCCAGGGCTCTCCTGGGACGCTCTCATCGGGGGCGGCAAAGAGGGGGTGATGACTAGGGGGGGGGAGATCATGGCGGGGGCCATGCTATTGTAGTGGCCTTCGGCCAGTGCCGCCGATCCGGGTCGCTCGGGGTTATTCTCCAGACGCAGAAATTATGGGCGCACACTCAAACGCACACACACAGTCACACCACTTAACCTGCGCCGCAGACATGCGCACACAGCATCACCCACACACACATACTAGTTGGGAAACGCTCCTGTAGTACTAGTAGTAGTATTAGTAGTAGTAGTAGTAGTAGTAGTAGTAGTAGCAGTAGTAGTAGTAGTAGTAGTAGTAGTAGTGGTAGTAGTAGTAGTAGTAGTGGTTGTGGTAGTAGTGGTAGTAGTAGTAGAGGCCTCGTTCCGCGGCTTCTCTCGACTTCCCGCGGTCTCTCTCAAGTTTCGAGCACGCGGTGAGTTTCACGATATATGTGTGTGTATGTACGCGTGCATGCATGTATGCATGCATTGATCATGTGTGCCTGTGTGTAGGTACGTATGTATGTATGTATGCTTGTGCGCGTATGTATGTATTTAGTTTGTATGTATGTTTGTATGTGTGTATGATAATATGTGTGTATGTGTGTGAATGTAAGTATGTATGTCTGGAAGATTGTTTTTCTATGTATGCAAATGTGTTTAAATGTAGGTATGTATGCATGTGTGTATGGATGTGCGTTTGAAGAGCGAGGATGTTTCAAAGAAGAGGCACTCGGTGACGCGATCGTTGAGGGATAGGAGTGAGGTCGCAGAGGAGGAGGAGGAGAATGAGGAAGAGGCGATAACTTGAAGGAAAACGATGAGACGGAGGACATCCTGCCGGTGGCGCCCTGGGCGGTGCCGCGGAAGAAACCGGGGGCCTGCCGGAGGCAGTCTGGAGGCCTCTGGGGAGCTGTTTTGGGGCCTCTTGGAACCTCTTTTGGGCCTCTTGTGGGCTTCTTGGGGCCCCTTGGGGGTCTCTTGGGGCCTCCTGGGGGCCTCTTGGGGCGGAAAGCTCGGTTCTTTCGGTTCGTGGTCCCCCTCTTGGGCCCCTCTTGGGGCTCTCTTGGGGCCTTCTTGGGCTGTCCAGAGGCCCTCTTGGGCCGTCTTGGGGCCCTCTTGGGCCGTCTTGGGGCTCTCTTGGGCCGTGTTGGAAGCATCGTGGGCCGTCTTGGGACGGACTTGGGGGCCTCTTGGGCCGTCTTCGAGCGTCGGACGCCCGAAAAGGCAAGAACGCTAAAAACCCTGAGAAAACCAATGAAAATCAACGATTCTGGCCTCTTGGGGCCCTCTTGGGAGGCCTCTTGGAAGCTTCTTGGGGCGTCTTGGAGACACCTTGGGCCGTCTGGAGGCCATCTCGGGCGTCTTGGAGCGATTTTTCGGCGACTCGGGGCCCTCTTGGAACCCCTTGGGGGTCTCTTGGGCCCCCCCCCTCCTCCAAAGCGCCGGAAAAAGCGGAGCATGGCGCCCCCCCCCCCCCTATCTTCCACTCCCCCGGAGCGGCCCCGGGGTTCGCCGGAAACTCGCACCCCCCCCCCCCCACCCCACCCCCCCTTCCCCGGCAGAGCCACCCCGGCGACCCCCCCAGAGGCTGAAGCTCAGCCTCGAGGCTGTAGCTGAGACTCCTTGAAACTCACACGCCGGATCGGCGGATTTCCCCAGATTTCATGGCGCCTCTTCTTATTTCATTACGTCCCTGGCCCCCCCTTGGGCCGCGCACGTGCCGCTGGCCATGATTTGCGCCCCCCCCTCTTGGACACCCCGCTCTGGGCCGCCCCCGATCTCTGAGCGTTCCGGAACGCTCTGCGATGGCCGCGGAGTCTTGGAGCCCTCTTAGGGCTCTTTGGGGAGGTTTGGGGGGCCTCTTGGGGCCGTCTTGGGCCCCATGGCTAAAAAAGAGGGGGGGGGGGGCAATTCCCGCCGCCCCCTCGGAGGGTCACACATGCTGACTTGGAGCCGTTTTGGGCCGTTTTTGGAGCGTTTTTGGCTGCTCTCGGGGCCCTCTTGGGCCCCTCTTGGGGCTCTCTTGGGGCAACTTGGGGCCGCGTTGAGGATGCCAAAGCCCATCGGAAGCGAAAAGGCGAGAATGCCTGAAACATTGATTTCTCCAGGCTTTTGAAGGATTTTGGCATCTTGGAGGGTGCCGTTGGAGGCTCGAAAGGCACTTGGATCCGTCTTCGGGCAGCCTTGAGGCCTCTTGGATGTGTGTCGGAGGCGATCTTGAGCCATCTTGAGCTATCTTGGGCCATTTTGGAGGCCATCTTGCGCTCTCTGAGGCCCTCTTGGAGCCATCTTGGGCCCCAAAGGACTCTCTAATCCCTCGGGCCCGCGCCGCCCAGACCCAAAGAGCGGGGGGTTGGAGACGGAAACGCTCTAGACCACCTCCGCCCAGAGGGCTGGTGGGACTCGAAGTATGCTTACACAGTTGTTTCGCCCTCTCGGGGCATGTCTGGCGGAGACAGCCTCTGGGGGGAGGGCCAGTTGAGACAGTGGCGGCCCTCCTGCCCGCCCCCATCCGCCGGCGTCTCCACTCCGCAGCCATTTGGCTCAAGATTGGCTCAGGTTGTAGCCAAGTGTTCAACTCTGTCGCCGAAGCTGCCAGCTCGCGGCGTCTCTCATACGTCGTCAATGGCCAACGCCACGTTCGAGATGGTGGCTTCCAATCTGGCCGTCAGCGAGGCTGGGCTCCTCGCCGCAACGGACCTCTACACGGAGCAGGGCGAGCCGGGCAAGAAGGGGCCGCCTGCAGCGCGCGTGCGGTGGGCCGGCTGGCGGGTCGGCCTGGGGGCGCTCTTGGCCGCGGCGCTCGTGGGCGTCGCCGCGCGGGCGGCCGCCCAGCAGCGCGGCCAGGCGCCCGCGCTCACGAAGGACGTGCCCGAGGCGACGGAGTTGCAGGACTGCGGATCCAATCCCGCGTGCCAGTACGAACCGGCGACCGGGGGCTGCGATTGCACCCCGAGCGCCGGTTCGTCGGCGACCTACCCGACGCCCATCACGGACTGCGGACCCAACCCCGCGTGCCAGTGCAATCCGGATACCGGCGGCTGCGACTGCACCCCGCGCTGATGCCTACAATAAATACAAGGGCAACGCAAATGATCTAATGTCTGTTTTTTTTCGCCGATCGCGCGCAGTTGACGCATCTGCCGCAGTTAGGCCACCGCGTGCCGTAGTTAGGACTTCCGCCGGCGTCTCCGATCTCGCCGCTCATTCGGACGATTGCCAAGACCGCGGCTGTTGCGTCGGATACTCTTCGCTTATAATGGGCGGTGCCCTCTAGAGACTATAGACATCAAGATCTCTGCGGGCAGGGCGCCCGAATGCTTGCGGGCGCGCGTTCGGGGCTGGCGGGGCGCGCGCTCGAGAGCGCCTCGTGGGGCACTCCTTGGAGCTATCCTTGTTTTAATTTGAGGGAGTTTCTGTGGAACTCACGTCATCCTCACCCCCGGCGCGAAGAGCAAGAGTCCAGAGCGGCCTCCGGTACCGTTTCCGGACGGATCCGCTGGATCCGGTGACGAATCCCAAACCGGCGCCCTCGCTTGAGACATCCTCGCGAAACCGGCCCCGGGGGAGGTGCCCACTGGGATGGATGGCCTGCTTGCTAAGTAGTTCTGCGAGTTAGAAGTACTTGCAACATAGATACATGCTAGTTACAACCAAGTCATACATATGTTATAACTTCAATATCATGTTTATATGTGGCCCAAGTTGGCTGCTACCGCGGCTAAGTACTTAGCGGAGTTAGCGGGTGGTTCACAACTCCAAGGGCTAGTTGCTATCTAGTTTGCGCCTGCTTACGAACCTGGTTAGGCACCCGCGAACCTACTTACGCAACCACCGACTAACCTAGTTATCGAGGTTCGCAACCCCGAGCTAAGTAGGTTACGAAGTAGGTTAGCAACCCCGAGCTAAGTAGGTTACAGATGGAGATTTTGGAAGTCGTCTGGGCACATTTTGTTGAACGTTGTGCGGGTTTCGAATTCCAGAGCTCCAGAATCACGACCAGGACGCTGCATTTTTAAACAAGTGGCAAGCAATTCTTGCTCAAGCACATTCGGACTCAACGAGTATTGCTGCATCTCCTCTCTCAGTTGTCCCGTGGAGTTCTGAACATGACATCGGATGCAACCGCGCAGTTTCAGGAGATGGCAAAAAATCTGGAGCAGATTACTGGCGCAATCAACGGCATCATTTCGAATTTCAGGAATGGAGAACAGTCGGAGATGCGAGCGCAGTTCGACCACATCAGGACGATCCTTCTGGAGCACAACCTTGCCTACTACATTCAGCCCGACCCCAACCAGTGCGGCGTGCACCCTCAGAATCGAGATGGGATGGGATTGGACGTTGCTTTAGTTCAACACCTGGCCAAGCACATCCCGTCAGCTGGGTGGAGCGTACACGAGATTTCTTCGGCTACCTGTTTCGAGAGCGGCCAAGGCAGCGCACATGACAAGGTAAAGGAATTCAACAATTTGGTTTCAGATCTGTCCGACGGGTTCATTCCCAAGTTCGGCGACGGCCAGGTCGTGAAGTACGCCGCTGTTGCTTCTAGCCACACGATGGCGCTCATCCGCGCTATACGGTCACAGGGTAAATGCACTGACCGATATTTTGCGTTCAGGAAAGGGGATGTGAGGGGCAGGGAATGGGGCGCCATCCCTCCCCTGCCATCCCCTTTCCGACAACAAAATTCGAGTTTGTTTGCATTTACACATTCGCAGGCACGGCTGCTGCACTACATGCGAGGAGTATGCGGTGGATGGCAAGTTTAGCAAAGAGAAAGTGCTGCAAGCCTGTCCGTCAATGCGGGGCCCCATCGAGAGCGGCTTCAGGTTTTGCTGCATCCGTCACGAAGTGGAACTTGCTTGCCCTGGTTTACCAGACTTCATCCAAGCATGCGGCAACATCGGCAACGCTACACACCGACCCGCCACTAAGATACAAGCGATGAAGTCTTTGCACGCTAAGCTGGCGTTCTTCGCGGGGGCGTCCTTGAGGCCTGAAGAGCAGAAGGCGAAAGCCGTCAAAGCCGCGGAGCAATCTTGTCCTCACTTCCACGGCGAGGTCGATACCATGGCCGATTTCGTGATACTGTATAGCGGTGGAAGGGCGCCCCAATTCTTGAACGACCTGGCTACGTGGGATGGGACGCTGGCCAAGAAGAATGAGCTCCCGATTCAGCTTTTCAAGATTTTGAACGAGCTGGATTTCAAGCAGGGCCCAGAGTACATGATGTCCATCCTGAAGGCCTCGATGGCTGCGCCAGCGGCCTTCGTGAAGCAGGGCGTGGCCAAGGTGGTTACGAGCTCAGACATTGCTCCCATCAAGAAGGTCGGCGACCCGAGGTACCTCGCGGTTCAGAAGGTGTGCAGCTACATCCGCAGTGCGAAGGAGTGGTTGGACAAGCTGGCCGACCATGTGAGCAAGGCCCAGCAGTCTCGCATCCTTGGCAACTTCGAGATCAACAGCGTGATGCACATCCACAAGAAAAGGGTTGCTGGACGTCGGGAGTACAAGAACGTTGACGAGATTGCGAACAAGCTCGTTGAGGACGTCTTTGCTCTTTACCCCGACGCTCGCAACGGGGCGCTTCCATGGACTTACGTCGCAACTGCATCACCAGCTCCTGCACCAGGTGCCTCATCGGCTCCATGTCGGATGCGCGAGTACACAGCGTCGTCTAACTTGACTTCGTCGCTACTGACTTCTATGGGCTTCAAGGTCGGTTCCGAGGTGGTGTCCAAGGATGGCGACCCCAGCGACGTCTACTCGATCAAGGAGTTCACTGAGACAGACGTCGTGCTGATCCAACCCAGGAAGGTCATCAAGGGCAAGGGCAAGAAGGAGCAGGAGACGACCGCGGTGACCATCGCCAAGTTCGCTGACGAGTGGAAGGCTCGGGTGGGCAGCAATTCAACACACGCACATGACACATTTTTCTAGGATTGGCATGTGCTCAAACATGTACACATGTGTATGTTGTGTATATGTAGATAAATGTCGGTAGGTGTAGGTTGACGGCCACAAGGCTCTCATGTAATTAGTTGTCGTTGGTATCCTCTTGTGTGTGGTCAGCTGGATGGCGTAAGCCTTCTGGATATTGTTCTTGGTTGCGAACCCCCCGTCGCCGCCGCCGCCCCCCCCCCCCCCCCCCCCCCCCCCCCCCCCCCCCCCCCCCGCCCTCCCCCGCCACCCGAGAGGCTGCAGACGTCGACGCGACCGTGACCTTCGACATGCCGCCGCCCTCTGCCGTCCTGGACTGAGAGGGTGAGGAGGATATGAGGAAACAGGAGGATGAGAAAACACCAGAACGGAAACCGCGGGGGCGGGGGCAAGGAGATAGACGAGAAACCGAAAGACAACGGGAGCAGGAGGGACGAATGAAGGGTAGCATAGTTTGAAACCAGTTGGGTCTCGGACGTCCGATTTTCAAGTTGCAGCGCACAGCGAGAACGGTGAAGGAGGGAGGGAGTGAGGGGGAGGGAGAGAGGGGGGAGGGATGGAGAGAAGGAGGAGGAGGAGGAGGAGGAGGAGAACAGAGGAAGCAGGAGGAGGAGGAGGAAGAGGAAGAGGGGTGAGGCAGGAAGGAGGGGGAGGGGAGCAAAAGGACGATATGATACAAGGAGGCGAAGGAGGATGCGGCCCTCTCTATCTCTCCCAGACACAGGACAAGCCCGAGGCTGTGCTCAACGCCCTCAAGGCTTCGGTGCTGAAGGCGCTCTCTGATGCATATGCTATGCATGACCTTGGCGGCAAGCTGTCCTTTACTGTTGCCACGACTGGTGGCAAACAGGTAATTCAGAAAGTCGTTACTAAAGAAGCCTTCCCTCGGGCGTCGTTGGCGTTGGTTCCGTTTAGTGTCACCGTGGGAAGTGGCTCTAAGGCCCCCGCCAACGCATTGGAATTGCACGATCTGCTTGATCCGAACGGCAAGCGTGTGTGTTTGTTTGTGGCGCCCAAGACAGAGTTCCCCAAAGGGGACAACACGGGCACCATCGCCCCGTACTTTTGCGTGCCGCCAGCTGCTGATTCTACAGAGGCCAATCTTGTCAAGGGCACGATGCAGGTGAAACTGTCGTCCCTGGAAGTAGGTGGTGGGCCTCTGAAGCAGATCCTAGTTTCGAATCGCGAGGAGACGATTCACCTCCCCATCATGTACAATTCCAAAGCCATCTCGAGTGGCACTGCTTTGTTGTACGACGCTTCTAGCAAGAAGCGCGCCTCGGACGCGCAGAGCCCTAAGGCCAAGGCTAGCCCTAAGAAGGCCGCTCGGACCTAAGCCTGAATTCGGGACTTTGCCCACCAGTGACCCCCACCACCACCGCCCCATCAAAGCGACAAGTCAGCAGGGACCCCCCATGGTGGAGAACGTTCCGAGTTGCATATATTGGCCTCCCTCGGGCTTTTTGTTTGGTGGCGCCCTTGTGTGAGGGGGCCTCGCCGAGGTGAGAGGATTGCGACGGCCTGCTCAGTATATAGCCGCTGTCGCCGAACTAGGTAGTTGCGCACAAGAGCATTCTGCGCGCCCAAGCAGAGGTCAAACGATCCGTCGGGAGCCCCAGCGATGAGACTGACAACGAAGGAGGAGGAGGAGGAGGAGGAGGAGGGGCCAACGATGAGTAGAATGGGCAGAAGGAGGAGGGCGACGATGGGAGAGGGGGAGGAGGAGGGGGAGGAGGAGGAGGAGGGGGGGGATGAGGAGGAGAAGGAGGAGGAGGAATAGGAATATGAGGAGGAGGGGGATAAGGGGGAGGAGGAGGAGGAGGAGGAGGAGGAGGAGGAGGAGGGGAGGTGGAGGAGCGGCAGGGAGAATAAGGAGGGAGGTGAATACGACACTGATCATTCTTGTCGCCACTGCAGGCGCTCGCGGAGCCAGCATTGCTAGGATCCCACGGGGCGGGTGGGGAAGGCGCTACCGCGTCCACGTCAGTGGGACTAGGTGGGCAATATTTGGATTCTTTCGGAGCTTCGGAGCTCTTGAGACTCTTAGGGGATCTGTCGCTCGCTTTGGGAGGGCTGATTGGTACTCGCATCCCCCCGACGATGTAATTGTATGGTTTGTCTGCGCTTTCTCGCAGTGTTCAAATGCGACGGAAGCATGGCAGTTCTGAAGATAGGTTCCGCTGGTGTCATACCTGAGGCAGCACCCCTATAGCCCTCCCCCTGAACTTATCAGATCCCCGTCGCGTTGTCTGTGCTGCTTCGCTGGCCCGCTTTCCGCAGTCGCTCCTTCGCCATCCTTTTTTTCAGTGGCATGTTTTTGCTCAAGCTCTGTTGCGACCCTGCAGCGGCCTGTTGGCTACAGACAGCTCTCGCAACACTTCCGATGGCCACCGCCCAGACGAACTTGGTTGCCATTAGCATGGAGGATTCCCCCGCGATCGGCAACTCGTGGATTACACCAGTCACTGCGGTAGAGGCCACTCAGTTCGTGACCTGCGACACTCAGTGCGGGCGTTTCAAGGCCTATGTCAAGAGGGACTTCGACATGCTGAACGCGATGGTTGCCGAGCGCAACAAGGCAACTCGTCGCCTCATGGCAGCGCTCTCCGCCGAGGATGACCCACTTGCTGAGCAACAGCCCGCTGACGAAGCGCCAGTCCCGAAACGCCCCAAGAAGGAGTTGTTCGACTCCATCGCCAAGACTGTCGAAATCCAGGTTACCGTCGATGGGGATGGCTCCTCCCACCACGTCAGAGTCTGCACTTCGGCTTTCGACAGAGGACAGCTCATGCTGGAGGCAACGCCGTTGGCATTGTCGCTCCTCGCGAAGAAGCCGAAGCTTCACGCCGACACGTTCGTCCCCGACCTCAGCGAATGGCCCGCGGTGTCCTGGCTGGGGCACAGGCGCGCTTGCAGGGTGAAGTTCTTTGACGGCGACTCCAGACGCTGGAGGGACAAAAGCATGCAAGTCAGGTTCGTGGATACCGACACGGAACAGATCAAGCAGGACCGTGTCGAGGCAATTGCAGATACACTGCAGACCTTCTTCACGAACCACCACTGCGACCCCAGCGCGTAGGGCTGAGCGCAGCCCTCGCTATGCAATGTGGCAGGGAGGATGAGGGAGGAGGAGGAGGAGGAGGAGGGGGAGGAGGAGGAGGAGGAGGAGGAGGAGGAGAAGCAGGAGAGGGGATTGATGAGGAGGAGGAGGAGGGTGAGGAGGAGGAGGAGGAGGAGGGGGAGGGTGATAAAGGGGGATGAGGGAGGAGGAGGAGGACGAGGAGGAGGAGGAGGGGGATAGGGGGAGGCTTAGGGGGAGCGGAGGGGGAGGGAGATGAGGGAGGAGAGGATGTTACTCGGGGCGCTGCCTGTTCATAACATCGCAAGCTCTTGGAGGGGAAGAAAAGAGGAGGGGCGGGGAGGAGGGGGGGAGGGGAGGAGGAGGAGGATGTTACTACGGTGCCTCATGGTAGCAACATCGGCCGCTTTGGATGGGGATAAATAGGAAGAGGAAAAGGAGGAGGAGGAAGAGGAGGAGGAGGGGGAGGAGGAGGAGAAGGAATATCAACTGCGCATCCCACTCCTCCCTCTCATCCTCCTCCGCATCCCCTCCCCACCTCCCCTGCGCATTCTAATGGTTTAGAATAGGTCGCCTCCTGGGAGAGGGAGGTAGGATGAGGAGAGGGAAGAGGAGTACAGGAAGAGGCGGAGGAGAGGGAGGAGGATTGCAGGAGGAGGAGGAGGAGGAGGAGGAGGAGGAGGAGGGGAAGGAGGGGGCAGGAGGAGGAAGACACGAATGCAGCCTCGGTCACACTCTCGTCATTTTGAGCAGCGCTGCCGTGGGTTAGCCACAACACGCTGCTACTGCTGCGCTGCTGAGGGTGGCTAGCGCGAGACGCTTGTGGATAGAATTTGGCACCAGTCGACTTCGCACTGGCGTAAATCAGGGTAAAAGCGTAGCCCCCCCAAGGCCGTCGCATAGGTTTCCAAGGCCCTTCTGCCGTGCCAGCGTGGGCCAGACGCTCTCTCGCATTACTTCAAAGGCCCACCCTAGCGCCTCCAAGACCCACCCGACCCACCATGGGAGCCGCCCAAAACCTTCCGACTGTCACACCCGCCTCGCCCCCCGCGTCAGACGAACCGATTTTGCCAACCGGCAGGGGCCTGCTGGCAACATTTTGCCAACCGGCAGGGGCCTGCTGGCAAAATCGGGCTAAGAGAATCAATAAGAAGCGATTTTGCCAGCAGGCGGGGGCCGGTTGGCAAAATTTTGCCAGCAGGCCCCTGCCGGCTGGCAAAATTTTGCCAGCAGGCGGGGGCATGTTGGCAAAATCGGCGCCCACCGCCTGAAGAGACGGTTCGCGGGAGAGAAGCGTAGGAAAAATGAGAACGACGTCTGAAGATCAGGACGCCAATGCGAGGGTCACGATATGATGAGGTGATGGGGATGGTGAGATGGGGCGACGAGAAAGGGAGAATGACTGGCACGAGTACTGAGGATAGATGGGTGAGAGGGCAGATAAGGAGAGGGGAGGAGGAGATAAATGAGGAAGAGGAGATGGGAGGAGGATGAGCATGTGTCTCCTCCTCCTCCGCCTCCTTCTCCGTGCTTAGCCTTTTTTGGCTGAAGTTTTGTTGCGATCAGTTGCTGTGCGAGCTATTATCCTCTCCCTCAGTCTCTTGGGGGCTCGGCAGTCGCGCCACCATGGCGCAGTCGCAAGCAGCCGCTGTGCTCATCGAAGCAATCAACTCTCGAGTGAGATTCGTTGAGTCCCAGCGTGCCCTGGGCGTCGGCCAGGACGCCTTGCTCGAGACGCAAGCGAACGCCTTGCTGGCCACTATCAGAAGCACCACTAAGCTCACCGTATCTGATGCCACAGCCATTGGAGCAGTGTTGGCGGAGGGGCCTTGGAGTGGAACCCAGAAGCTCAATTTCGCGTCGTGTCTCGCAGATGCTTCTTGCCAGATCGAGGCCCAGGAAGGCACGCGGGCGCAGCAGACGTGCTGGAACATTCACTTGTATTTCACCGCAGCTGACTGGGATACTTTCAAGGACGGCAACCTCTCGATAGACGCAAAAGTGGTCTGTGCAGCCAAGCGTTTCTACAAGCTTGGGTTGACCTGCCCGAGGGAAAAGTGTGTCGCTGCCGCTGTTGCTACGATTCTCGTAGCTGATGGTAACCAGGGTGATATCACCGCAAATAAGAAGCTGCATCGCGACAAGAAACTGAAGGCCAATGTGAAGCTGCTGGAGAAGGTTAACGGGAAGCACACAAAGTGGTTCCCCCATTTGGTAATGTTCCCAGGCACGCCGCAGGAGCT